GAGGGCATCTTGGCCCTTCGAGGCATGGGGGATGGACATAGTTGGACCAATTTCTCCACCATCGGCGAAAGGTCATCGCTTCATCCTCGCCATTACTGATTATTTCTCTAAATGGGCGGAGGCCATCCCCTTAAGAGAAGTCAAGACTAGCGACGTGATCAAATTCATCAAGCACCATGTCATCTACCGATACGGCGTACCCCGGCGTATCATTCACGACAATGGCACGCAATTCGTTAGCCATGCCTTCACTAGGTTCTGCGACAAATTCCGGATACAGAACCTCTCGTCCACGGCCTACAACCCTTCAGCGAATGGTCTGGCCGAAGCTTTCAACAAGACGATCATCAAGATCCTGACCAAGTTGACTTCCACTAGCAAGCGCGACTGGAATGAAAAGCTAGGCGAGAGCCTGTGGGCATATCGCACGACGGTTCGTACACCGACTGGCACCACGCCTTACTCGTTGGTATACGGCTGTGAAGCTGTATTGCCATTAGAAATTCAGATTCCATCCCTGCGCGTCGCCCTAGCGACAGGGATGACGACTGAGGAAAATCACCAACTTCGACTCGCAGAGCTCGAAGCACTGGACGACAAGCGACTGGAAGCTCAGCAGCACATTGAGTTTTACCAAGCTCGGATGGCCAAGAGTTTCGACAAGAAAGTCAAGCGCCGAGCCTTCAAAGAAGGAGAGCTCGTCCTATCCGTCCGTAGACCAATGATCCTCACTTCCAAGAAGAAGGGGAAATTCCAGTCCAAATGGGAAGGACCATTCGTGGTAGAGACAGTCTACTCAAACGGTGCCTATCGCCTCGTCAAACCGAACGGCGATAAGATCATGATGCCCATCAACGGCAAGTACCTGAAGAAGTACTACCCCTAGTTCTCCTGCGCAAGACTCCCAAAAGTACACGAGTCTAAACTGGTTCTCAAAACCTCCAACTGGTACACGAGGCTAAACTGTTCCTACTTTGCCCGCTCTGGCGAAAGCCTCTTGTGGGATTCAATTCGCCTATCTCCTCTAATGAGAAGGCGGATCCACTAGAGTCGTTCATATCACGACATATACATTCAATTCGCCTGTCTCCCCTAATGAGAAGGCGGATCCACTAGAGTCGTTCATATCACGACATATACATTCAATTCGCCTGTCTCCCCTAATGAGAAGGCGGATCCACTAGAGTCGTTCATATCACGACATATACATTCAATTCGCCTGTCTCCCCTAATGAGAAGGCGGATCCACTAGAGTCGTTCATATCGCGACATATGGATTCAATTCGCCTATCTCCTCCAATGGGATGGCGGATCCATTAAAGTCGTTCCAATCACGACATTCTCTGTCACGTTAACATTAAACCTCTGACAAAATCAACTTACCAATCCTCTTCTAAAGGATGGTGGGTCCTCAAAGTCGTTCCAATCACGACATCCTCTGTCATGTTAACATCAAACCTCTGACAAAATCAACTTACCAATCCTCTTCTAAAGGATGGTGGGTCCTCAAAGTCGTTCCAATCACGACATCCTCTGTCATGTTAACATCAAACCTCTGACAAAATCAACTTACCAATCCTCTTCTAAAGGATGGTGGGTCCTCAAAGTCGTTCCAATCACGACATCCTCTGTCATGTTAACATCAAACCTCTGACAAAATCAACTTACCAATCCTCTTCTAAAGGATGGTGGGTCCTCAAAGTCGTTCCAATCACGACATCCTCTGTCATGTTAACATCAAACCTCTGACAAAATCAACTTACCAATCCTCTTCTAAAGGATGGTGGGTCCTCAAAGTCGTTCCAATCACGACATCCTCTGTCATGTTAACATCAAACCTCTGACAAAATCAACTTACCAATCCTCTTCTAAAGGATGGTGGGTCCTCAAAGTCGTTCCAATCACGACATCCTCTGTCATGTTAACATTAAACCTCTGACAAAATCAACTTACCAATTCTCTTCTAAAGGATGGTGGGTCCTCAAAGTCGTTCCAATCACGACATCCTCTGTCATGTTAACATTAAACCTCTGACAAAATCCGCTTACCATTCCTATTCTGAGGAATGGTAGGCCCCCACGGTCGCTCCGATCGCGACAAAACCTCATCAAGTTAATGATCACCTCTGATGATTGGCACCGTTATTCTTACGAATAGCATAGCCTGAGCAATGGCCTACCATGCGACGTGCCATTACTCCTGTCAATAGTCACACTCCTACGTCCCTGAGCTATCTGACCTGTTCCGGATATCCTCACATTGCTTTAGGACAACTGATGGGTAGAGTCTACCAGGCGATGACTTTTACCACAATCAATTGTCTCATTCCCACGTGACGACAATCGTCGAAGACGGTTCCCCAGACAACAACTCGCCGAAAGGCGAGTCGAAGTCAAGTTCATCAGTTGGCCGTAAAGGCGAATGTTTGTTCTTTATTGCGATCCAAGGGTTACTCTCTCGATCCCGTTGGAGCTACAACGCGAAGATCGGAGTTAATCCGATCCCACGCTATGAGCAACAGAAGGCAAAACAAGAGCTTAATACGACTAAGTCCTAAACAGGACAATCAGTGGATCGTCAAGTTCAATTCAAATGCCCAACGGCACAGTCAAAGAGAGAAAACTGTATGCGTAAAGCAAAGGTGAACAAAATAAGCGAAAGGGCCATTACGGGCCATAATTTACATTGATGTTTGCAGTTTTTGACTATTGATAAGCTAACAAAAAACAGACAAAAAGCAAAAGGAAGAATCCCAGACAGCCTTGAGCGACTACAGAACTTCAGCACGCTGAACGAGCCCGCATCATTGGCCTTGACTTCGCTACGCTCTGCCGCACGTGGGTCCCTCTCTCCTCCTTCTTCTTTCTGCTGTTGCTTGGCCAAATTCGCCCTGGCTGGCTTCTTTCTCCGACGAAGGAGTTGAGCTCCTGGTCCACTCGCGCGGCCGACCTCGCCCAAGCCTCTCGCCTCGTCCCACGCTCCACCAGCTTCACCTCGCCGCGGACTGGGAACCGGCATCCTCGAAGAAGCCGTTAGGTAGGCGGTCCATCCGGTCCAGACCGCTTGGTTGCCGCTGCTGCAGGACGTCGGAGCCTCCGCTTCTTTCGCCTGAATCCGCTTCGCGCTCGTTCTTCACGCTCGGAGCAGAAAGCCACAGAGAAGCGGGATGCAGGGCGCCGTGTCGGCAGAGTCCTCATTTAAAACAACTCCTCGAGGCGGTACGTCCACCCCGCCACCCGCTCAAGCTCTCGCCTCACATCGACCGTGGGTGAGCCGAGCGTCGCCAGCACGACGGACCGCCTCCAGGCCGCTTCACAAGAGTAGCGCGTGACGGTATGGGGCCGTCGCCAACGCTGCACTGCATATGCAAACCCCGTGCACCAAGCCCACCAATTCCTGGAGGCACGAAAAGGGCGGGGATGAGCCAAGGGAGTCCGGAATCACCCGGGTACTGCGCAGCCGGAGCACAACGTCAGACGACGGTGGAGGAAGAACCGACACCCTCCGCCCCACCACTATCATTAGCAAGAGGAAGCATGAGGAGAGCGCAGTTCATTTTTCGCAGAGGATCTCTTCTAGCGGATTTCTCTCGAATGCGGTTTAGCGGACTCTGCTGGAGAAGAGCAAGTCGCAAGTATATAATTCACGAAAAATTTACGGTGGAGATCATCACCCCCAAGCGATCGATAGCGGTCCAAAACGCCCTGCGACGCTTCGAACTCGCACGCCATTAAACGGCCTGCTCTCGCAAACCCCGAACGACAGAATCGGAATTTCGGGCACCAGAGGCGAAACGAAGCCGGTCGCTTCACCATAAATAAGCATTAATGCGGCCTGCAGGACTCCTGCGCTGGCAAGCCACTTGCGCCCCGCCCCGCACTGACACGGTCGGCACGATTTCGCCGTAGTTGCGAATCTCCGACTGTATGGACAAATCCGCTGACTGCTAAAGTTTCGCCTTGAAGTTCAAAAACTCGCCAGGTGAATCAGGTCGGGTTTTCAATACAAGCCCACCATCATACGGGTCTCGCACACAGCATAAACTCGCCAGCCGTTAGATGGCGTTTCCAAGCGAAACTCACCGGCAAAAGAAGTTACTCATCTGCTTGAATTCGCCAACAGTTGAGTTCGGCTTCCAAGCGGAACTCGCCGCGATCAAAATCTCGCCTGAAAACAAATTAAATCTCGCCAATACACAAGCAATGAGCGGACACAAAACCTCATTGATACCTTAAGACAGTACATTTGAACAAAGTTATATTTTTGCAAATTGCGAAAGTCATAATGAAATGTTCAAAGAAGCAAAACATACACCCAGTGTTTCAAAACAATACATTTGAACAAAGTTATGACCTTACGGGTCATGGCGTACTTTCAAATGCAAAACAGGCAAGCAAAAGGTCTTAATACAATCCTGAGGCAGAAGTCTTAGTCGGACACGCTGAAGGTGGAGATCTCCTCTTTGACTGCCTCTACCTGGCTCGCGTGGTCTTCCCGAGCCTTATTTTCAGCGGCTTTCTGAATTCGATCTTCGCGGTTCGACATGGCGGCAGCATCTGTCTGACGCAAAGCCAGCAGGCGCCGAGTCTCCGCCTCAGCGTGCTCGTTCACCTTAATAACGTCGGATTGGAGCCCCTTCCACTTCGCCTCCGCCTGTCCCAACTCGGCCCTCAGGCGAGCCATGGTATGGTTGAGGTCAATGACTTGCTCCTCTAGCAAACGTTGTTGACTCACCCAAAAGTTAGCCGCAGACTCCGAATCCGCTATCTCTTTGGAGCGGATTTCCTGTTCCAGGGCTTCCTGACGCCTGAAGTGAGCTAGACAGGATGCCATTTTAGCCTCCGGACCTCCCCGTAGCAAGTCCTCTAGCACCATCATGCGTGGCTCCAAGAGACGGAGTTCACGCACGCAACGGGTAGCGAGACGGTTTTCACCTGATCGCCGTAAATCGGCCACGCGATCATAGAGGGACTGCCTGAAGCTGTCAAAGCTACCCATACCGAGTTCGACGAGGGAAATTGCCTGCCTTACAGCACCTTCGAACTCTTCAATACGGGCCTGCCATGGTTGAGACTCGGAGGGAACAAAGCTCTGGCCTGGAGCGAGCGCCGTGATGGGAGGAATTTCGAGGCAAGGTTCGGCTCCCGGCTGGGGAGCGGGATCCGGAGCAGCGGAGTTCGCACGGCCTTCAGATTCGTCGTCTGAAATCAGAATGGGATCGGCCGCATGCTCCTCGGCAGCCGGCACCTCCTCTCGACCTGTAAGACGCAACAAGCGATACAGGGAACAGTTGGGGGAGGAACACCTACTAAACTCACACGAAAGTCGAAGCAAGAACATACCTTCAGCCGCGACGGCTTCGGCAGCACCTGAAGAACCAGGCTCTTTCCTTTTCTTGGAAACGACTCTCTTCACCTTCGGCGCCATTGGGAGTATGAGGAAGAAGAAGTTCGGGTTTACTCTGAGGAGGACGATAGGCCCTCTCGAGGAAGAGTTAGGGTGTTAAATACCCTAAGAGTCCTAGGCGGTTACTCAGTACTTGATTAGACCGTTCAGGATTAAAGCAGCTAGAGAGCAAGACCGAACGGATCGGATCTGGACGGAAGAGATCTGGCAGTTCCTTGAGCACGATCTTCAACAAACGGCTCAAATCGGACGTGGGGAACGAAGAGGCCCACTACCTCGCATTTAATGCGAGGCGGCTATCCCACGTCTCCTTAACCGGCGTACACGTGGATTAACACGTGGCCCGCTAAAAGCGTAACCCGATCAGAGTCAGAATCGCCATTAGCATTTGCAAATCCGCCTGCGGGCCGAATTCGCCTGCAATCGAAATAAACCTACAGCGCAAATCAATCGATGATAATCCCGCTGCAGTTGAGGTCCTCTTGCGGCCAGATTCTGACCAATGCATGGTTACGAAAATGGCACACGCACACAAATGACAATAGGCCAGAAACAAAAGGGATAATTTCATTCGTGAAAGGGAAGTCCTATTACAAACGGAAAATTGAAAGCGAATTACAGAGATTTTAACCGCAGCTCCGCCTCACGAAGTTCTTCGGCATGGCGAAGTTCAAGCCTCCTTAGAATCTCTCGGCGAAGATCTTCATCCGTACGCGAGGCCAAGTCTTGAACGGTCTCTTTGGCTTCCTTATGGGCTCGCTCCTTTTCCTCCACTGAATTGGCAGTCAGCTGCTGGCGAGATTCAATGTTCTCCAACTCTTTGACCGCCTGCTCACGAGCCTTCTCTTGAATAGCCAATGAGGCCCGCGCCTTGGCTATGACCTGCTTCAGAGTCTCTACCTCCGAAGACAGGCGAGAAACGCGGTTGTCAGCCTTCTGTCGCTCGAAGACCAACGTTCATTCTCAGCTCTGGCCTGCTCCAGCTCCTCCGACAATCTCGCCTCTAGTGACATAGTTTCATTCAGACGGCGATCCCGCTCTTGCACCACCGCTCGGACTTCGCCGGATGCAAGATCCACAAGAGTGGAACTCTTCGCGCGAAGAGCAAGCAACTGCTGGATGGCTTCTTTCACCGCCTCCTTACGCTGGAAATAAGGCTGCGCCCCAGAATGCTTTAGCCTCTTGATTAAGAAGCCTATGATGTAGTCGATATCCTCTTCGAAGCTCTCGAAAGGACAACTCTCTTCCAGCGCGAGCCTGATGCAGGCAGCCATAGTGTCATGGAATTCAGCCACGGATCGTGCCGCACTCTTTCTTCGCTCACGCTCCAAGGGAGAGAGGGCAGCCTCTTCCATCATAGATGGAACCGCGGTTGAAGCACTGGTGGCCGTAACTGTGGAAGTAGTAATTGGCGTCGCCAGGGCCGGTGTGACCAATGATGACCTCGGAACAGCAATCACGGCATCAACGGCGACCCCCGACAGGGAGGTGATCACTTGCTGAGCAGAAACCTCTCTTTGAAGCGGTGACTCTCGCACTGAGGAACGATCCTCAGCAGACACCGCCGCAGGAGCAGGGGATCCCCCTATTTGACCAGTCGCATCTTCATGAGTCAAATCCTCTTCCTCACTCGACAGGGCCTCGTGTATTGAGGCGTCGTCGTCATCCTCCTCAGATTCGCCCGTCTCCCTAGACGAGCGATTCGCCCAAGAGGAAGGACCCTCTTTGCCGGCGATTTCGCGGGCAGGATCGGCTACAAATGCACCAAGAGAATTAACGGAGACCCCTCGTAAGGGACCCTATTTACGGTGAAGCATGAAAGAACGAGTAATGCTAAAGTCTATACTTACCTAAGCCCGTAAGCCCCTCATCATCTCCAGCTTCTTCCTCTTCGTCGGAAGGAATGGAGATCACTTTCTCAACCGCACCTGCATAGATCCATTACCGATATCAAAAGGTGCAAGAGCAACATTGCAATCAAGGGTACTGTTGCAAAGACTACCTCGTGATGCGGGCAAAGAAGCCGTTGGAACTCCCGACGGTGACCCCACGTCGGACGGCAGAGGAACGTCCTTCGGAGTCTCCTGAACTGCCCCCGATGCGGCAGGTGAGGCAGGCGACACGGCTCCAGACCCAGACGGAGCCACTCCAGACCCGGACAGAGCCACTCCAGGAATCCTTATCGGAGAAACGTCATCCCGACCCCCTGCCACTTGGATGGTCCCGACTGTCCCATCACAGCGAGCCTTCTTGGCCGCCTCCGCTCTGGAACTCTCGGCCACCGCCTCCCGCTGACGCTTCGAGAGAAGCGAGCTACTCGGGGATAGCAAAGGTGCCCCCATTTGTCCGATTGTCGGACTCTGAACCGGAGCTTGAACATCGGGAACCTCAGGTTCGCCACCAGCATCGAAGCTCTCACAGTCCCCCACTGGATCCTCCGAGAACAACTCCCTAGCGGTTTGGTGGCCCCTTCTCTTTGAAGAACGGAGAGAGCCCCTGATGGGACGATCGCGTTCCGCCAGACATGAGCTTTGGAACCAGAAGTTGGCGGGGTCAGCACTAGCACCCCGATACCACCGACAGTACAAGAGCGTGTGGTGTAAATCGCGGTCCTTCGCAGGCAACTCAAAACGAGCTTGAGTACCTCCAGCATGGGTCCAGAACCACCCCCGAGCGCCGTCAACCAGTCCTCCTTCGAAGTGTAGGCGAGGGTTGGCGTTGCCCACATACAATTGATCATACCCAAACTGGCGGGCAAACCTGCAAGGGATGTATGGCTCGAGATAGCATGTGGAGCCTGTTCTCAGAACGTGATACCCTGGTCGAATGTCCACCAACCAGCGAAAGGCACCACGGGAAAGGATTGTGTGGTGATCCGCCGTCGGCGCATCCCTGAGAGATTCTCCATATCCACCCCCGCTAAAGTAAGGAAAAGATCGACGAAAATTATAGTGCCCGAAGTGGGAGAGCGTCTTCCTCGTATCGGGGATGTCCTTGCACTTCCAGGAGCACCTCTCCAAACGCTGGACAAAGGGGACAAACCTGTCTCCCTGAAGCGCTGCCGGGGCACTCATCAAGCATTCGCAGTGATAGACGAACCATGCCACCAAGTAGGTATACGGTAGCCCCACCCTAGGATTGGGGGTTCTGATAACTTCTCCTTCCCCCTCGTCGAGGACCGACACACGGCAGAATTGGCTCGTCAGAGTACGGAGCCCCCGATGGATGCACGCTATCGTCGCCGATACCAGGGAATAAGACTTCCCGTGAGCCAGGCAAACCGCCGGATACACGACCTCTATAGGAAGAGCCTCGAAGGAGTGAGTGGGGATTACGCACCTCTTCAGCCATAACATGAGGTACCCCGCGAGCAGCGCCTTCCCCGAAATGAGAAACTTCGCCTGATGATGGAATGAGTGAAGGACCGTACCAGCCTTAAATCCGCCCTCGTCGCGGTCAAGAGTAATGGTGCTTCCTTCTTTAGCTGTCCTCGCCTCCACTTCGGGCTGGTCGCACGCGCCTAACGGGAGAGCGGGCTTCCCCTTGACATCGTTCCCAGGGAACAGATAATCAGCCCAATTCTTGTGGCTAATCCCTGGGGTCTTCTTCCTCTTCCCCTTATGATCCGAGGCCCCTAAGGTACTGAGGCATATGTGGAAGTGACAGAGTAACTCCCACAGAGTTTCAACCGCCAGAGGGGAATTGTCCGACAGCTGATCGATCTCATCTTGATCAGGGACGTATTCCTCATAAGGGAAGTCTCCCAGAGGCAGCCCCGACACGTCGTGCATCTCGAAGGGGGTGATACCAAGCTCACCATTGGGAGTGAAAAACGTGCCGCTTTCCGCACAATACAATTCCAGAATGCTATGGAATTGAGAAGCGTTGATCCGCAGGCCATGTCGAGTGGCTTCGAGGGCCACATACAGCTCTGTGCCCTTGAGGTTAGCATTCTCGGCCAAAACATAGTCGGTGATCTTGGACCACCACGTGTCGCTGCCTGGCGCAGAGTAAACCCACCCCGGGGCCCTGAAGTCCTTCGGGGGAAAGCTTCCACCGACTCGGAAGAAGCGGTGACGGAAAGTCTCCGCCACCGCTGTCGATTCCCCCACGGGCGGTTCAGCAGACACTAAGCCAGGGCGCAGACCCGTCACGCGCTTACATGAGCTCTCCACTCCATACCCAGCCGTAGAACCCGTAAAGACGCCACAAGTGACCCCGTCCTGAGTGGGGGTCAAATCCCAGTTCATCGTCCGAGGAATCGCGAGGGACCGCAGCTCAACAATCGAAAACCCTCTCGGCATGCTGGGGAGGTAATAATGGGTCCCCTCTACCGTGCGGAACCACCGGCTCTCTTTGAGCAACAGGGCAGAAGGGTCGGTCATGGAGTCGCCGAACAGAAATTGAGGTTTCGGCAGCTCTGCCCTGGCCTCATCTGTCAGCGCCGCATTGGTCGTCAGCTCGCGCAGGGTCAAGTGATGACCATCCGTGACCCTCTGTACCAGACCATGCAGCTTATCAGCAGTGAACAAGGGTACTGGAGCCAACGAGGGAAAACGAGAAGGGGCCGTGTAGCTCTTAGCCCCGACGTGGCCAACGGCCACACCCTCCGGGAAAGCCTCATCAGGGAAGGTCGCTGCAACAAGAAATAGAAAGTCAATTGAGACAAAATCCGCTGTAGAGGCGAAATCGCCTATCGAAAGGGGGAACCCACTTCGAACGAGGTCTGTCCCTACGGACTACACTCCCCTCTAATGGGAAGGGCCGAACTCGCCTTACGAAAAAGGGGTTCGTCTCCTCCCCACTGGAGAATTCGCCCGCGGGGACAGTACTCATCCTCTAAAGGCAAAATAGGGCAAACTTTGCCCCAAATCGGGGAAATAAGCAACACTCATCTCCCTAAATCCGACGCCTAAGGCCTGCAAGGGATCGCCCAACGAATCCATCAACGTACCTGGGCACGACTCCAGAGCACCAGCAGGCATGCCGGCAGAGAGACGGTCGGAGTAACGTCCGGGGCCTGCACCCCTCACTTTACACCTCTTGGATTTCGGAGCCATTGCGAGAGGAAGCGGGAATTCTTTCCTTGGATGTTCCCTTTCAAGATTTGAAAGCACGGTAACTCCCAATGGAGGAAAACGGCTGATTTAGAAGGGCGGAGTTGTCCACGTGGCCACGACTGCCCTCGAAAGGCGAAAACCCTAACGGACAGGAAACGGGGCCACGATCAAATTCGACGGCCCAGATCACCCTCAGTGCATCGAAGGGACCGAGATTAGCGTTGGAATCCGACGGTTGAGTCCGAGAACCACGGCCACGATACGTCGCAGGGCGAAACGCACGAGGATCGTGCTGTCAAGTCACGATCGCCACGATCCAATGTCTTAGCTGGGAAGCACGAGGCTCTATCAGCAGACACGTGGCTCATCTCCCGTCAGATCCGGTTCCGCCTACAAAAGGAAGGGCTTCGCCTGCAAATACTGGGCATAACCCCACGAGTCGCGCGAAAATTGGCTCTCAAAAAAACTAATTTCGCCTTGGCGATGCATTCGCCCTCAAAGGTAAAATTACGAACAAAGTCAAAAGAATGACCTTGCTTAAACGGTTGAAACCCACGCCCCAGATGGCTAAGGGTTAGAGCAGAAATCTTAGCATTAAGCCTAAGAGAAACTGTTCGACAACTCATCATACTGAGGAGAATAGTATGGCTAGCCCGATTCAAACGGTAATCGGTAAAGGCACATCAAACCCGTTGATAGCTGAGGATTTGCTAAAAATCCTAAGAGAAATCGAAGGCACTTGCTTCGCCAACAATTTCTTCATTCAAAGTATTCCAGACCACACGCAAGCCAGTTCAGGTCTGAAAACTTTGAAGGGGGTCTTGTAGACGGTGAAAAATACCTCTATGGGTCTACAGGAAAATTGCCTACGAGAAGAGTTCACACGCCCAATTCTCTGGCATGGACCTAAACCGCGTAGACGTCGACTATACTCAGGTCCAGGTTCGCCTAACGGTCGACTCGCCAGCATGAGTCAGGGTCGATCAGGATGGCGGAAATTCGCTCGTCGCTCAACTCGCCTGCCCGAGTTCGGAGTCGAATCCGCCAGCAAGCCCCAAAACCGTCAGTACAGCTGGGTATCCACTACCCCACGTGCTGAGATGGACCTTCCCATCTCTCTCGACCCGAAGGGAGAGAGAGCACAGTACCCCAGGACCGTCAAACGGCCGCTCGCAGTGCGCACAGCGCGAAGGGACTGGACAGGTGTCGAGTCAACCTGAGCATTCATAAATGCGACTCACCTCGGATGTCTGAGCCAAGAGCTGGATCCGCCGGCACTCGGCAAGCTGGCTAGACCCACTCGAGTACTGTGTACCTACTTCACCGCCTCTCCTGGCCGGAAAGGAGAAAGCATCGTGCTCAAAGCACGCCGGGCGGTCACGCACAGTACAAGTGATCGGACAGACACTTCATCGATCTGCGAACTCATAAATGCGGTTCATTAATGCTGGTCAAATCCACTCGGATAGCAGTCGTTTGTTGCCTCACATACAAGAATGGGCCTTCCCATCGTAGGTGACAGGACATAGAGCACAATCCCTGGAATGACCGTTCATGGTATCGAGGAACGGCGAGACGTCTCTGAAGAGGATGTGGTCACATCCCACAATTCAAGGAGAAGTCAAGCTGTCCTTCTTTCATTTAAAAACCCCTTCCAGCACGATGGAAGAGAGGTCGCAAAACTTGGAGAAAAAAGAGTTGAGACCAAGCTGTTAGCAAATCCTTGCATTACAGCACTGCTGCCTAGTTCCGGGCTCCGATCGCCGACGAACCAAGCAGACCCGAACTCCATTGCCCCGAGCTTCTACTGCGAACTGAAGCTCTCCAGCAACCTCATTCAAACGGTCCAAGGGAAGCAGACTCGACCCGACCATCGAGCGAAGCGTCCTATAGCCACCTAAAGTCCCCACACAAAAACAAAGAGGGCCTTCCCTCTGCTTCTGTTGTAAACATTTGATTTGTTAGTTTGTAATAAGCTTTCTTATAAATACAAACGAAACTCCTTTCTTCGGAAGAATCAAATTTTCACCCTACAACGTCTAAGGAAAGATTATTATGGCATGTTTGGAGGATGAATTCCTCCATGACCGGATCTTGACAGTTCATTCCTTGTTCCGGAAGCGCTTGACGAAGTTCTCAACAAGCTCTTCATCTTTCTGTTTCTCTTCAAAGAGTGTTCCGATCGACACTTCAGTGTCATCATCGAAGAAATTAGCGAGAAACATACTTTTCATGTCATCCCAGGTATTGATACTCCCTGGTTTAAGACGGTGGTACCAATC